AGAGAGAGAGAAAGAGAGAGAGAGAAAGAGAGAGAGAGAGAGAGAGACACAGAGAGAGAGAGACACAGAGAGAGAGAGACACAGAGAGAGAGGGAGGCAGAGAGAAAGAGAGACAGATAGAGAGAGAGAGAAATCCCAGAACTTTCACAACAACAGTGGAAAGGAGTTGTGTTGTTGTTGGGTTTTTTTGGTGCGCTTTTTTCTTAATGCCCTCAACAAGCCTATTTGGATTGGCTGGAAGCTTTCCTCCAGCCTCAGTTATCTCCTGGATGTTTTTCTGCTGAAGCCTGGGGGAGGAGGGAGACAGCAGGTAGGGGTCGGGGTGGGGAGAAGACAGGATGAGGAGGGGACGATGAGGTGGAATAGAAGAAGGAGGATAAGGTGGAAAAGGAGGATGAGCAGAAGGAGGAGATGAAAGAGGTGGAATGAGGAGGAGGAGAGGGAGGAGTAGGTCGAAAAGGAGAAGGAGAAGGAGTAGCAGGAGGAGGAGATGAAAAAGGAGGAATGGGGAAGAGTTTGAGAGGGATGAGTAGGTCCAAAAGGAGGAGAAGAATGAGTAGAAGGAGGAGGAGGACGTAGAAGAGGAAGTGGAAGAGGAAGAGGAGGAAAGGGAGGAGTAGGTCGAAAAAGAGGAGGAGAAGGAGGAAGAGAAGGACGTGGAAGAGGAAGTGAAAGAGCAGGAGGAGGAGAACGGGTACGAGAGAGTAGGTGGAAAAGGAGGAGGGGCTAAGGGGGAGAAGGGGGAGGAGGAGAAGACGTAGAAGAAGAAAAAGGATGAGAAAAGAACAGGTGACGAAAACAGTTTTCCTTGCTTGAAACAACTTGAGAGAAAGCTACAACCTCAACGACTGAATATTCACTATGACATATTACCATTGACTATGACAAGATAAGGAAAATGAATGAATAATTAAACTACTACCCAAAAAGAAGAAAAAAATGGATTTGATAAAATCAAAAAGTATCACAAAGAACGGGTCTCAAACAAAGAAACGAACCCCAGGTACGAATGCGAAATAATCATTCAACAGAAATTCAACATCACTTTTCTGTCAGTACTATTATTTGCCTTCCCAATAGATGACAAGATTTCAGGCTAAATTGGGCACTTTGGAATTCACCTGACTCTTTTTTTTTTTTTTTTTTCGTTTTTTTTTTCCCAGCGTCTGCCCTTCGGTCACCTAAGAGGGAACTCATGTATTGGTGACGTCATCCACACACAAAACAGGGTACAAATGATAAAGAGAAAGATAACAGTAGTGTGTGTGTGTGTGTGTGTGTGTGTATGTGTGTGTGTGTGTGTGTGTCCGTGTGTGTGTGTTTAAGAGAGAGAGAGAGAGAGAAAGAAAAAAGAGAAAGAAAGAGAGAGAGAGAGAGAGAGAGAGAGTAGGGAAAAAAAGAGAGGGAGAGAGAGAGAG